TCCTTATACGGTTTAAAGCCTTGGCTGTTTGTGTGCCAAGCTCGATCGTGCGTCACTGGGACGCCCGGGCCGAACATGATGGGCAGGTCGGACGTCTGCGGAACTCGGGCTACGGCGGCTGCTCTGAGGCGGTCGATGCTGCAGTGAGTCGAGTACGGCGCTGACGTCAATCATGGGACGATTTGGACGGAGGAGGTGAATCATCGACCAGGTCGTTTACTAACGTACCAGCACCCGACTTCACAGGTCACCCACCAGCTGCCGCATTTCAGTCTGCATTTCAGCCACCAGAACTCGGAGACCTTTCGGAGGGTGTTGGTACCCATTTTACGCTTAGACTTAGATCGTCCAACTTGTCAGCCTTTTCATCCATAAAACCAGCCAAGGTTGGCAGATGTTGCATTAAGACCTATATAGGCATATAGGTATACAAACGCCTGCACCAAGCATTTCCATGCATACTCATGGTACCCTTGGGAAATGACCGATGATTGTACCATTCTTTCAGGAAAGGATCACCCCTGTTCGCCACCAAACAAAAACGGTCGACAGCCAGGAGGGGCAGGACACGACGGAAGCAGGGCAGCAGCACTGGCTTCCGGAAGCGTCCCAGCCGTAGCCATACGACCTCATGAGGAAGCTGAGGAAGAATGACGGGGGGCCGTGTGACGGGGACGGAGTGACTGGTATCCAAAAACCAAGATCGGAAGGACACCGAGTTTCGGTGGGTTCCGAAAAAGAAGTGTGGAGGAGACGTGAAAACTGCTGATTAAATCTTCCAAAAGCTTGGGAGGATTGATTACTGCCCTTCTTGTGGGTGAACCATAAAGAATAATTAATTGGATGGATGGACGGTTTGGTCTGAAAAAAAAAGGGGGAGACTGAAGAAAACCAAAGACTCAACAAGAGCATGGGGACAAAGAAAACGGTGTTGTCTTTTGGGAGACCTCCTGGGTGTTTCACTCCATGGGGCTTTGGTGAATTGTGTTCTATTTTTTTAGATCGCTCCGTGGGGCTTTGGTGACTGAGCGGAAGAGTGGGTCTGAGCCACTCTGGTGTTTCACTCCATGCACTGGAAGAGCGGAGGTGAAGCAGAGCAAAGAGTGGAACCACGGAACTGAAAGACGAAGCATCAGATTCGCAACAGCTTCACTCAGAGGGAAGTGGAGTTAAGATGAGTTAAGAGTAGAGTGCATCAGGGGCATATGAACAGATTCCAAATCTTTACAACTCCCAAATTTGAAGCATGCACGATGCAGCAGCATGTCTGGATGACAGCTTTTAGCCGGACCATTCGGCGGTTGCGGAACCCGATTCCGGCAAAGTCGCACCGTCGTGCTCCTTACCTGGACCCTCCAGTTCGTACCCGAGAAAATGGGACATGAGTGACGTGACCCTATCTAAAAGTAAAGAAGCAGGTCCCTCCAGCTGCTTCCAAGGGGTCACCAATGGATATCTCCACACTACTTACAGGTCTCCATTGGGCACCCCTTGGAAGCGCTAGGTGTATTTATTTCTGAGAGGTACTAGGTACGAAGATATATATATGGCAGCTTCCATGGCAGCTCCATGGCGGGGTACCAGGCAGGGTACCGGGTGACTGGCTGTGGGTCACGGTCACCGAGCCCCGGGCTCCAGTTGCATCTGTTTCGACCATCCGTCGTGTCCGACTGCACACCCCTTCAGCTGTGCTCCGGGCTCATTGTACCCACCACCTGAAGACGATGCTCAGGAGCGGTGTGATGTTCAGGATGAAAAACAAATTCAACTCATGTCATAACTCGTCTCAGCAGGGACTCAGGTCACGAGGGCCTTTGTGGGATGCCGTTAAAATCACTCTTTAAGCTCTCTTTCTCAAGTGTGTTGTTGGGCAAAGACTCCTATGATGTGAAAACTAGCTTGTTTTTTACTGCGGACCTGTCCCTCTCTCTGTGCGTGCGTCCAAACTATATATCTGATCAGTTCACATCCAAACAAATGGAATCAACAAGTTCCTCTTCATTGTTTGGGGCTTAGCTCATCCTCAGAGTAAGCATGTCAAGGATTTGGGTGTCACTTCCCAAAAGAATGTTGCCTTTGGATCTGATGCAGAATGGCATGTCGAACTTGCATTTGCATGTATAAACATCTTCACCAAAAGGGACTTACCGAAGGAATAGACATCACCTCTATATATCAGCAACACCATGCTAATGTCCAATCGCCAAGAAGAGAGGAATCATAAACCCAGCGGGAACCACAAAAATCGGACTCTCCCAGGAAATGGAATGCTGGGCTGGATGCTCCTTCACTTCAGAAATGGCCCGAAATACCATCCATGGTGTCCCATTCTTTTCTTCGGGCACCTGCAGCCCCGTAGCCAACCTGACGCGAAGGAGGCGTGACGGCGATGGACCGTGAAGTCTATTCTTCGTTGCAGCCTGGAGCCACTCAGACTGAAAAGCATTGCATGGATGATCCATTTCTCAAGTCCAATGGTTAGCAAATGTTAGCAACAATTACATGGCTTCAAGAGTTATCTTGAGCTTACAATTCGGCAACCAATCGGTGCTCAGTGAAATTATCAGGAAATCATATACCTTTTTTTGATGGGACGGTAGAACAAAACAAACACTTCCGACCACGCCATGGACATGAAGCTTGCACTTCCCTTACATCACTTCAATCCTGCCACGTCCTATAATTTCCATAAACAATGGTGTATATAGTTGAAAACAGTATCATAGTCATAGTTGAATTCGGACCTTGCAAAAGGCGTAGTTGTCGTGATTTCAATGCACTTGCTGGGAGAACTATGGACGATTAAAACGATCAAAGAAGTCCCTAGGTGCTCACTACCCAGGAAAGGCCAAATGCAGTAGGGATGTCCACCTACCTAAGAAAAACAAACATACTTTCGATCAAGGGTCAATTTTCCACAGCGGCAACGACACGCATCGCGTCGCAGTGTGTGGCACCTCTTCATAGTACTGCTTGTTGGCAAGTCGACTCTCCTGCAAACCGAGTGTCACAGGGACTGTATACCTCTAGGATGCCCCCAGCACCGACCGTTGAGGTAAAACAAAGGGACGACGAAGGCAAACGAAGGCAAAAATGCCCAAACCAGACGAATGAGACTTGCATATTTACTTGCAATACCCTGGAACCACCCCAATGTACGTAAATATGATCACATGTCATATAATGCATATAATATTATAAAAACATGGACATATATTCACATGCTATGTCTGCAGTTGAGTAAATCCTCCCATTCCCCGCAACAGTGGATGATGATGGTCAGGTTGCAGGCCTGCCGAGCAGACAGCCTCTCTCTATTCCTGATGTGATGGTTCTTACGTGAAAACCGACTGCTACGGGCTGTCTGGGACCCCTTAAAAGCTTGGGCTGTCCGTGCCTTAGCCCTTCATACTCCTTGACCTCACTGTCGCCCTCTTCTGCATCGAAGCTTGGCTTGGTAGCCCTTTGTCGCCCCGGGACGTCGCCAGGTGGGACGCTGGATGAAATTCCACGCCTGAAAAAGGGTGATCCACGTGTTGGATGAACTTCCAAAAAAGGAACATCGACTCTGCGACGCTACTCCCCTGCCGAGAACCAACTCATCCCCGCCCTTTTTCCAGATCGGGTCGCCCGGTCGCATGTCGCCGACCAACCCGACGACGAGTGAATGAACAGCCCTGGTGGGTTCCGTGGAGAGAGCCCCAGCTGTTTGGAGGCCTTCGGAAAGCCTCGGAACACATAGGTTTGAGATTGCCTAAGCTAGGTCCTATAGGTATGGGCTCTCTATGGCTCTGTAAAACATGTGTGAACATATTTTGAACATATGTGTTGTTTTCATGGCCTTCAGACTCTACCTACTTCAGGCTCTACCTCAACACTATAGGTCACCAAATGATGGGCCCATATGATGGGCCATCCGAAGAATAACGGGAGAGTCAGAATGAAGTGGTGACACAACGGGTCGGTCAGGGGTCGGGGTCAAATCCAGCCCAACCTCGCGGGAGGTCGGGAGAGATCCACGGAACGGGCGCGGGGTGGCTGGTCCTCTCTGGCCTCCTTCTTCTTGAAGCTTTGGTGCTGGCGAAGATGGCGAAGGTTCAGAATGATTCAAGTTTGCTTAAGACTGGGTCGAAGACTGGGTCGAAGACGGGTCGATGGCCCATCCGGTCGAGTCACATGGCGGAGTCCTTGGATTCTGAAAGACTCGGGACAACCATGAGTTGTCCGGTCTTACCCAACAGTTCATGATTTTTGTTATCACTCCACGTTGGCTCATATGAGTTAGAGAGAGAGAGAGAGAGTGTATAGGACCCTCTCTAAAGATCCGCTTTTCGTCGCATCGATTCGCTGCACATGGATCAGATCTGATCGAGGGATGATGCCCTGTGGTCAGATTTACATCGAATCAAACACGGGAATCACACATATTCCACGCAGGGGATTCACCCATTTTGACAAAAACATCCTGCTTCTAAATTTTGCAGGATGGGCAACTTCCAATCTGACCAGGATGGGCCAGCTAGGATCACAGGAGTCTTTGTCAGCTCTCTTGGTTTATAAGTAAAGTCCCGGTCTTCCACACCGGCCTGATACTTCCAAAAAGCCGGCCCAGCATCATAAACCCTACACCTCCAAGTACCTCCTCAGGTCTTTGGACCTTCCGAACGCACCCCAAACACCTTCTCAGAAGGTACGACTGGAGGCCTAGGGAAAGAACATTGGGTCGTCTTTGGGAAGATCGGATCATCTACTACGGGTCGCTCTTCCAATCATCCTTCCTAGGTGTCACATGGTGTCACTTCTTTCAAGCCAAGAACCTCCGAACCTTCGATCTCTTTCATGGAGAGTATTCACGATATCCAGGACCTTCCTTCGTACCTTAAGTTCTTGACCCTACCCCTGTTCGATACATAAATGACAACTTCGAGCTTAAATTTCATTTCGTATCTTGAATTTATGCCTCGTCCTTTTTTTGAGAATTCGAGCGTTTTTTTGAGCTTGCAAGCCATTTTGGTTTAGAAGACTGGCGGCAGGGGATGTGAGGTGCGCTCTGTGTGTGTGCGCATCCATGTTCAGCTCCATCAAGTTCCGGAATGGCCTGACAGGTGCATGGCGGTGCTGGCCTAACGGAGTATAAGATTGAAGCAGGTCCGCCCCACATCATGCATTTTCCTGTGGATGTACATCATATAAGGTGGACAATTTTTTCTTGCTCTTTCCCTGTGGGCAGGTCTTGGACTACGACCTATTGGAATGTGGCAAGGGCATTCCAGTCATGTTTTGTGGTGCTGTTCTGGGTGAAAATAGAGGTGAGTTCAGTCTCGCCAGCCGAACCCATGTACAGGAGTAGGGTCAATAATATTAGGAAGGAAGGTCCTGGTATTTTATATATCCGTGACTGAACTTACCTCTACATAGCTTCACTGGCTGTGTCTTCTCATGCACCTGGGTACTTGGTGCAGCATTTGGCTTGGTGAGCGTTCCTTTATAGGTCATAGGCTTGGGTGAGAAATGTCGTCCCCTGTGGTGGAGGAATGGGCCCAATCAAAGGTCCTGATGAACAGAGCAGGGATGGGGCGCCTCTCCTTAGTCGCCAATGTGAAAACCATTGACCGGAAGGATGTAGTCTCGAACTCGGACGTGCTCATTCCAGTGATTAAATACCTGGGATGTAGAGTACCTGTCTCTCAGATTGCAGAGCACGTGGACATGTTTTTGAACTACGCGCGTCCCAAAGGTAAGGCGCCCCTATCAGGTCATTTTGCTGCATACTTTAATTGTGCTAATTGTCGTTTTGTGGCTTACCACTTCACTTCGCCCAAACCCTCCTGGACTGACTTCTTGCCCAGGTGATCATGCCAAATTCCAGGCATGGATTATCAAGAGGCTCATCTCAGAGTTCAATCGATCAGCTCGCCGTGGGCACTTCCCGCGGGAGAAGGGTATGCAGGATATCTACACAGAAACTGGGATGACCCTACCATTCAATCCACGTGCCTGGCCCTCTTCAGGTACCTTTAACTTATTTTTTTTGGCAAGACTAGCAAAAACAACATGGGCCTCGTTCGTTGATCATTGTAACCCAAAAAACTTTTCAAGGGTGGAGTGGAAGATTCTTTTCACCCATGGTTGATTTCTTAGGTGAAAAGCCAGCCGGTGACTCTGACTCTGACCATGATGGTGAAGAAGGCCATGAATGTGGTGAAAGCGAAGTGGATTCTGAAGTATCTTTCTTGCAATTTCTCAACTCCATTGCCCTGCATCTTGTCACACGCTGTCCTGTCCATTTGCTTAGGCAAAAGATGAAGAAGTAGCTGACCCGGGCCCACCACCTTCTGAAGGCCACTGTTTTCTCCCATCCGGTCCCAGCCTACCAACCGAGCATGGCCAGGTACATCTCCAACTCCTACTCCAATCCACACTCCACCTCCGCTGAGCAGAGTCTTGGCAGATTTTCAAGGGGTTGTGCATGTAGGTTTTTTCACCCTCCAAGCTGTCCAATCACATTTGACTTCCCCAATTTGTTGAGGAGGCAGCACATGCGATTTGGCGAGCACTGAGAAGGTCTTCCGGCATCGTGTGCTTCCCATTGGTGTTGGCTTCTATGGATGTCAGGATTGCAAAAAAACTGGCGATGATTTGTTGTCCCTTGTAGGGCAGCCATGTTTGGATGAGGTGGCCAAGGCTGACCCCGAGGTCTACCAAACCCCTCGTGAAGCAGTCCGGACTAACGATATTGGAAGCCCTTTAGTTCCAGTTGCACTGGAGGATGAAATGGCCAAATTGTCCTTGAATGATCAGGGAGAGAGTTCAAAAGCTGAGTCCCTAGAACCAACAGAGGACCAAACGGCTTTAGAAAACGAACTTGCCTTGCTGCGTGAGCAAGAACAATTGTTGGAAGAGATGGCCATCCTCGAGAGCTTGAAGGATGAAGAACACCGACTTTTTGAGGCTGAAAGATCTCTACTGAACTCTACCATTCCTGCATCTTCAAAGGCTGCCCCATGCCCTGCTGGTGCCTAGGCTGCTGTACTTGGAATGTACTTGTTGGAGGGGTATGCACTGGCTCAAGGTTTAGATGTTGATTGAGTTTGGCCAAGGTGTAGATGTCAATGCTATCGACACCTTGCCCTTTGAAGTCTTTCAGGACCGCCCACTCGTAGAGCACACATGGTTGATCTCTCTCTCTCTCTCTCATGCAGGAACCGGACCTTCCCATGCCCATGGAGCCTGAGATCGCCAAGACTTTGGGAGCCCCGGCGGAGGAGAAGGCGTGATTGACTGCCATGGTGACACATCAGCCTCAGTTGCAGGCATCAACAATGATCTTATACTGAGATAAAATGTGTTTGGTGCTAATCTAAAAGGGTCATCACCAAAATGTATAGGGTCTGTCTGCCTGTGTTGGTATACTCTTACATTGGGGGGCTGTGAGGGGTCGATATACAATGTGTTGTGTATATCACAACTCGCAGGAACTTGAAGTTGAGGAGAAAAAAAGTTGTTGGTGGGGAAGGGAAAGAACCTGAGGTTGAGGAGACCAAGGGCAAAGCTGAGAGTGAGGGGATCATGACCCCGAGCCCATCCATGAAGGAACCTGCTGAAAGTGCTGAACCTGTCGGTGAAGAACCTGCTGAAAGTGCTGAACCTGTCGGTGAAGAACCTGC